GTCAAACCTGTGCAATACTTTTGCTCACTAAGTGTAATTGCCCAAAAGTTAATTGTTTGTGTATGGCCATTGTTTACTGTAAAACGAAAATGGATACTGGAGGAGGCCTTTGTTACTGTAAAAGGACAATCCATAGTCAAGCAGGCTACTTCAAATCTGAAAAACCTTTGGTATGTTATGATTTATCTATTAGGGTTTTGTATCTAGTCAAGATATTAGGAAGAAAGTAAAACGAGAAATAAAGAAATCATTGCAAAACAACTCAGGAAGAGTGAATGTACTTCAAATATGGTGTATCTGGATGTACTTCTATTACCTTTTCTGAAAAGCTTTAATATGTCTTAATATTTTTGTTTTTCAAAAGATAATATTTGTACCACCAAACTTTATAATTGGTTCATGCAGACATGACTATGATGCAGACTTCTGAAGTGTGAAATTCCAATATACATTCTTTCTGCAAATTTTGAGCATGGAAAATTTGGCATCAATACCTTTTAACAGCTTTTACAGTGTAAAATTAACTCAAGATGAAAAATCATTAATCTTACTCAAACAAATTGTAAAGACAAAAGGAGGTCATGATGATCAATTCACCAAAGCAAGGATTTGACTTTTTATTTCATTATGTCCATTCAAATAGATGGTCAGAAATTTAAAAAGGTTGGAGCTACAATGCCACAAATCAAGCTGATAAATTGCCATGGGACCTTGCATCTTTGGACAATGAGGCTCTTAGTAACCTCTTGCTGTTTGGCAATAAGAAATTAAACATTGTCTTTAACAGAATGATTTTGGAGCTACAATTTTATTCATTGAGAAAACTAAGTGGCTCTAGCATCAATTGATATTCAAAGTATACTGTTATGTTTATCTTTATTGTATTCCTGGAGTGTTTTTTAACAATAAATTAACCGAAACGAAATTTGTTTTTTAGAATTGGGTTTTTCTATCTTTACAAGCTATCTTTCCTGTGATTTCTTGAATTATATCCCATCTTTCCAAAAAGGTGGAGCTTGGTTGTTGACTCGCAAAACCATTGGTCTTTTAATTGACGGAATTTCAATCTTAACACAACTGATTTTGCATTTTTCTCTGACACTGACTAATTCCTTTATAGGCCTTTGGCTTCTTTTGGAACTTTTATGGTAGCCATGATTGTATTGTTTTGCTATTGGAGAGAATGCAGTCCATTTAACAGAGAGGAGTTCACAATTTGAGAACATTTGCTTATAAACTTACAAATAATTTGAAAGCAAGTTTTTCAAATTTTCAAAAAATGAACCTCATCATGGTTTCTGTTAATCCTAGTTATACAACATACTGAACAGAAAAACTTGGCAATTTTGCCTGTCATAAAATTAAAGTTTATTTGTACTGGCATTAAAGGTCAGTTTACCAGATTATTTCTTTGCAATTCCAAAGCATTAGTTGTATCTGATAGTATGATTCAAACAAATTAATTGTTACAGACTACTAAAATTGAGTGAAGAATCTCTATTTCAAAATGAAATCACCCTTTTCAACAAGACCAATACTTCGAGAGGTAAGCAGAAACCATTTTATTCCATCAATACTTCCATCAAAAACAAAAGAGCATGTAGAGGAAGATGATAAATAGCATTTATTTCATCTGTAATAACACTAAATCGCTGAAACATTAAAAATACAATGACAGGGGAGAGGGAATATGCTGAGGTCATTTGCAAAAAAGTTTTACAGATTATTGATACTTTTAATATATCTCATAGACGTTCCGCTATTTAGCGTGTGACATTCGTTTAGACATTCAAATAGACATTCGCATGGACATTTGGACTTTGATTGCTTCTTACAAAAAACTATAGAATATTTTTAAAAGATATTTCATAGAGGGAAACCTGGCTGGATACTCTGTAGATTTGTGTATCTTGCTCATAATAAGACGCGCTATACTTCCGAAGGTAAGCAAAAACGTCTAAAAAGTAAAATTGCAGATTGTAGGTACATATAGGAAACAGGTACAAAACTGTGTTTTACTGTGTGTAAGTTGTTTTGGTCTTTGTGTGAGAAAAAATTAATCAGTGGTCACAAGCTATTCGTCTAATTAAAAGGCAGCAAATTTCTCACTTGAAAGCCAATGCTATGATACTATGGTATGCCAAAGGTTAAAAACTTTATCGTAATAGAACAATATTCATGACGATCATTTGAAACAATAACGAAATGTGAGGAATTTCCTATTCTCAATTATATTCATAATTTAAAAAGGGTAAGATACACAGTATAGAAACACACAGAAATAAAAACAGAAAACACTATCCGAAACATTGTTTGTTGCGCATATTTTAAAAAATTTAGAGAAAATCACCTTCATGATAGAATCAAACTTACCGCCACTGAGTTTGCAACACTTCCACATAGGCCCCTATCACTTCCACAATATCCACGAAAGCTCTAAAAGCAAACGTGTGATTTCGTGAAGTATGGGGGCCTTTGAAACTCTTGCACACCACAAGCACAAAGTTTGTGACGGCGTGGTTTTTAACTGGCAAGAGATCGCAGGCCGGATTTTGTACCAGTAGAGGCTACTGGAACAGCTTTAAATTCGATGAGAGAACATCATGGCGTAAGTAAGTAAAGAAACTGTTGAAGTGAAGAGATTATATAGTAAATCATGCCACATTCGAGAAGCTTCCATCAATTGCATCTAATCAAAACAATGTTGCATCATAACTTATTACATCATCTCTTATTGCACCATAATGAAAAGAACAAATTCTAGAAAATTCCAGAGCACCAAAGAAAAAAAGCAGACCACTGACCAGTGCAATAGAAGCGCCGAAGGCGCTCGACTCTATGAAGGCGGATGTGAGGCAAATTTGTGGACTTGCTACAACTCTACAAGTCTCTCCCTCTGAAAAATAAAGAAAGGGAAAAAAGAAAAATTGGGAGGGAACGAGAGACCGATATAACCGATATAATTTTTAAGGGCTCAGTATGGCTGATTTAACCCCTTGGACCAATATGACTCCTGGGCTGGGCCATTTTCGGTGCAGATCAATATTGTCCTTAGGCCATATTGATCCATACTGAGCCCTTATAAATTTGGTGAAAGTAAGGATTGATTTCGCTCACTTCTCTTTCGAATATCGATGTGAAATTTGATGAGTGGCCCTATACTGCACATTAGTTTACGAATTGATGTTAAAATTAGAAAAATAAGCCGTCATTCGCAATTTCCAAGCATTTACATCGCGGTGCTTGTTGTGGTGTTCTCTGATCTTGATGATCTGAGCTTGTTGTGCTGTTGAACAGATAGGAAAAATGTGCTGTTGTGGTGATGGAATAAAATGGTTTCTGCTTACCTCTCGAAGTATTGGTCTTGTTGATAAGGGGTGATTTCATTTTGAAATAGAGATTCTTCACTCAATTTTAGTAGTCCGTACCAATTAATTTGTTTGAATCATACTATCAGATACAACTAATGCTTTGGAATTGCAAAGAAATAATCTGGTAAACTGACCTTCAATGCCAGTACAAATAAACTTTAATTTTATGGCAGGCAGAATTGCCAACTTTTTCTGTTCAGTATGTTGTATAACTAGGCTTTACAGAATCCATGATGAGGTTCATTTTTTGAAAATTTGAAAAACTTGCTTTCAAATTATTTTTTAGTTTATAAGCAAATGTTTTCAAATTGTGAGCTCATGTCTGTTAAATGGACTGCATTCTCTCCAATAGCAAAACAATACAATCATGGATACCATAAAAGCTCCAAAAGAAGCCAAAGGCCTATAAAGGAATTAGTCAGTGTCAGAGGAAAATGCAAAATCAGTTGTGTTAAGATTGAAATTCCGTCAATTAAAAGACCAATGGTGTTGCGAGACAACAACCAAGCTCCACCTTTTTGGAATGATGGGATATAATTCAAGAAATCAAAGGAAAGATAGCTTGTAAAGATAGAAAAACCCAATTCTAGAACAACAAATTTCGTTTCGGTTTATTAACTGTTAAATACACATCAGGAATACAATAAAGATAATCATAACAGTATACTTTAGATAGGCAAGGGGAGCGGCCGCAAGGAAAGTCGGTGTCTGAGAAAAGTGCAAATTTGCAATAGAATTAGTACCTTAAAGGGGGACTTTATATTCCAGACAATATTAGAACGTTTTTAAAGACTGCAAACGACTGTAAGAAATATTCTTAAATGAATTTCAAGCTAATCTAAAGGGCGTCGTCGCAAAAATGTTCTACTCGCAAAAATGCTAAAGCGCTTCAATCCTTAAAAAAAATTGGATTTTGAAATGCTTGTAGGGGATTTTGCTCGAAAGAGAACAGAATTAGTTTGAAACATTTAAATCCTGTTTGTTATTTTTAGATATTTGATTGAAACTGTGGAGAATCAGTTTTTACACATAGTGCTTCCTCGCCTTACACAATTCAGAACGTAAGCGTTAGATCAATTGTCAAGGAAATAGGCAGTTGTAGAATGGGGTCAGCCACAAAAAGCCAGATATGACGTTGTATAAAGCGAAATTGCCACGTAAAAAAGCCATAGCTTTTCCAAACGCTTTTGCAAAGTGATGCGTTTTCCTAAATTCTTAACGGTGTGGTCAGCAAAAATTTTCTCCTCCTTGGCCCTCCAATCTTCCAAACGTGGCTACGCCACTGCTTCTTACCGTCTTTACCTTAAAGTTAAAAACGGAATTTAAAAAATGGGCGTTTCCTTAATTTACCAGTGAACTGAAGGGTGTGGCACCAAAATAAGTGTCTAACACTCCAAAATCATTGATTGTTGCTTAGATCCTCCCTACTACTCATGCCATATTAGGTTCCAAACGACCGACAGAAAAATTCAAGAATTATATATTCAAAATGGTCTATATTATTAGATAGTAGATACAAAAAGTTCTTTCTAATTTATACGAAAATAAAAATTGCAAGCACATACTTTTTCAACTTAAACACGACAGGCCACTGCCATATTTCCCCCGTAACTGCGTAAGTTAAAAGAGCTAAATTTTTTAAACTTTTTAAAAACCCCAAAAAATTGCCATGTGTTGTTAATTTATATCTCCCCTAACTACTTGCTTTAGAAAAGGCACTGAAATAGTCGTAAGCTACGAGAAAATCATTCATTAAAACAAGCAATTTTCCATACTGAACCCTATTGCAGCTCGCTTTTTGCCACTTTTTAAAATGGCGGAAGTAAACAAATTTGCCTCCCATCCGCCTCCACAGATAGATTTGAGCGCCTTTGGCGCTTCTATTGAACTAATCAGTGGTCTGCTTTTTTTCTTTGGTGCTCTGGAATATTCTAGAATTTGTTGTTTTCATTATGGTGCAATAAGAGATGATGTAATAAGTTGTGATGCGACCTTGTTTTGATTAGATGCAACCCCGGGGGGTACTTGGATACCGAAACGACGGGGTGTGCACTCCTAAGGTTGTTTTGGTAAACCGGCTTTAAAAAAAAGCTAAAAATGAAACCTGGCTTTAGAATTTCTGGAAAAAAGAACAAAGGAAAACAGAAGCTTTGGTGCCACTTGCCATGGTTGCCAGAACTCCACAAAAACAATGGGCGGGCAGCGAAAATCAGGCAACCGGCTTTAGATTATATCCTTTGAACAGATACCCGGCCTTAGAATAAATTGCTGGAAATGATACCCGGAAAGACGTGCACATCCCGTCGGGCAATATATACTAAGTAGCCCCCCGGGGATGCAACTGATGGAAGCTTCTCGAATGTGGCATGATTTACTATATAATCTCTTCACTTCAACAGTTTCTTTACTTACTTACACCACGATGTTCTCTCATCGAATTTAAAGCTGTTCCAGTAGCCTCTACTGGTACAAAATCCGGCCTGCGATCTCTTGCCAGTCAAAAGCCACGCCGTCACAAACTTTGTGCTTGTGGTGTGCAAGAGTTTCAAAGGCCCCCATACTTCACGAAATCACACGTTTGCCTTTAGAGCTTTCGTGGATACTGTGGAAGTGATAGGGGCCTATGTGGAAGTGTTGCAAACTCAGTGGCGGTAAGTTTGATTCTATCATGAAGGTGATTTTCTCTAAATTTTTTAAAATATGCGCAACAAACAATGTTTCGGATAGTTTTTTATCTTGAGTTAATTTTACACTGTATAAGCTGTCAAAAGGTATTTATGCCAATTTTTCCACGCTTAAAATTTGCTGAAAGAATGTATATTGGAATTTCACACTTCAGAACTCTGCACGAACCAATTATAAAGTTTGGTGGTACAAAAATTATCTTCTAAAAAAGAAAAAAATTAAAACATATTAAAGCTTTTCAGAAAAGGTAATAGAAGTACATCGAGATACACCATATTTGAAGTACATTCTCTCTTCCTGAGTTGTTTTGCAAAGATTTCTTCATTTCTCTTTTTGACTTTCTTCATAATATCTTGACTAGATGGAAAATATAGATAAATCCTAACATACCAAAGGTTTTTTGGATCTGAAGTAGCCTGCTTGCTAAATAATGGTAAAATAGCTCACTTAGAAGATGTAATCGTATCAACCATTCAAGCAGATCAACTTCCTATTTTCCTACGTTCCTACGTTTGTGCTCAATGCCTTGCTTTTGCTAAGAAATGGTGGTTGCTGTTCTTTGTCGTAAAATAATGGTATCAGCACCAACTCTAGTACCTATAGAAGAAGCTAATGTTTCGTGCTTTCTTTCTTCAAGTTTGAAAAACCTGAAAGTATTTTAAACTATGTTGTGAAGATGAATCAGCAATCTCAAGGACAAGGCAAAAGTCAACATGGTATACAGCAAAGAGCATTTTAACTCGGGTGGTATGACAACAATTTTGTATATTTCCTGCAAACAGTAATGTTGATTTGTTCTAGTTTGTGTCCTTTTTTAGGAATGCAGAGAATCATTGGTATGACACGGCGACATACCAGTAGGCAAAGTTTTTCCGCAAAGGTTAGTTTGAATTAACGACTGATGCAGGATCAAAGGTATTATCAAAGTCAAAGGTATATTTACTGGATTGGCAATGATTGAATTTGAAGATTCAATCATTAAACAAACTATGGATTCTTGAGTTTTCTCATTTATGACCATTGGCAGAAATCAATTCTTCTTTCCAAATAAATGTTGGTCATTTTTGTGAAATGAGTTTCACTGTTGATATTATTTTTGCTTTCGACGTTAATTCTGAGCTCAATTTATCTTCAACAGTTTAAGCAGAATCTTTTTTGTCATTACCGGTTTTGTTTGTATCTAGAAGCGTTTGTATGCTTCAATGTGGGTTCATCGCATGCATCTCTTTTGTCTTTACACTTAATATCACAACTTCTCCTCCAGGAAGTTATAATTCACCCGATGAACTTCCTTTCTGACTGTGAGATATTTCGTCAGCTTACTTTTTCTTTTAGATCTTCTTACCCTGCAGCATTTTCTTCTTTATTTTCTTATCCAGACACTCGCTTTGATGGTATTTGAAAAGACATATATTTAAGAGAAAGCATCAAAATACAACATTATGATAAAACTATGCATGTAGCTCGGCCTTTGTAGCTCATATTATAACTTCTTTGTTGGCTTTGGTCTTGGGCAGCCTAACAGCAAAAATTTTGTCAAATAGTCTACCATATACCGAATCTTAACTGCCATTTGTAAAATATTACATTTGAATTTGATTTCCACTTTGATTCTAATAAGAAGCAGCCGGCACCATGTACCCGCAGAGCGTTGCTCTGCAAAAAACCTTCTGATGAGCGATCTACTAAGTAAGCAGATTTTACACTTGATAAGAAAAATGGCCATTTTTGCCCTAGTACCCTTTTCTTTATCTTGGTGCCTCTTATTGGTGGGAGGCCACGATTTGTGCACATTTTGCATTCAAATGCAAACCAGAAATTAAAAATTAATTATTTAGATCACTTGAAATTAATTATTTAAATAGTTGCGTTATGTATATTATCTACATTGCTTAAGTAGCTTGATGCAGACTGTTTGCTGCTGGTGTCATCAGTTTTGCATATTCCATCAAGATGGTCCTGATAGTTCTGTTTTCTTTTGGCTGCATTTTGTCACTTAACGTGAATGCAGAAAATATTGTAAGACACAGTTGTGGAACAGAAGGGACGTTTTACAAAATCGCATCAAATTATGCACTGAACGAGGCGAATGCAGCAACAAAAACGACGTCAGAAGGGGTTCTTGGATGCATCGAGTTTTGTGTGAAGAACGAAAGCTGCAAGGCATTCAATTACAAAAAGGTTTCGCCAGTTGAATCGCTATGTGAACTTTTGCAGAATGATAGAAACACGAAAGAAACAGATGTGGCCCCGAGAGATGGTTGGAGTTATTACGACACAGGATTATATTCATCGCAGGTTGAGTGATAAGTATACTAAATGTGCCATCTGGAGTAATTATTACAGAAACTTTCTAAATGATTTGAATTAATTGCATTTTCAGCTATAAGCTAGGGGCGCAGCAACAAGGGGTTTCATGAGTATGTTAAACTCTGAAACAAAATATTTGCTAAAGACCATAGTATCAGTGTGTACAACCAAAAAGCAAAAATTCTGCCATGTCCATCCAACTAGGGGCATTGCCGAAATCTTTTCTACATAAATACAAATGCATGTTAATATTCAAACATTAGCTAGAAGTTGCTTCTGGTAGCAGCATGTGCATGTTAGCAAAAGCTTTGAAAGACCGAACGATCAGAAAATATTTGAATGGATAAATAATCCATAAAATGTTTCTTTGAAGCTTGGCAATTTGTTGATTAAAAGATTAATGACGTCTCGTCATTTTTAGTTTTATAACCACGCTATTTGGTGGATAGAACAGGACGGTTCTAAGCTGCGACTCTTAAATTATCGCTAGATATGATTATCACCCAACAGCATATTATGTTCCATTTAAAAGCAGTAGCCTTGATGTATTACAATTTACTTTTAAATATCATCATTATGTTCCTAGTTCTATGAACATAAGTCTTTAGTCTTTTTCTCTTCATAGTCATTACTTTGTCAAGAAAGTAAGCACGATTTCCTTGCGCATCTTTTAAAGAAAACATTTACATTGACCTAAATATGCGCATAATCTAAAGTTTTGTATACTCTCATTTATCTATGCAGATTGGTCAACACTGTCGGAGCTTGTCGTACAACCCCTGCTATCCTTGCTTGTGTATTGATTCATGCTATTCTGGTCTTGGATACAGCTGCAACTGCTCAAACGGTTTGTATAAGATCACATGCACAGTAGGTCACATCGGTAGGGCACCATTATCTGTAGTTTAATTATTAAAGTATGGATACTGAATTATATTGAGTAAAAACAGATCATTTTTAAAGTGCTTTGAATACAACACAAGTAGGAAAATGCATTACAAATTGGTGGTACATTTAAAGCAACTGGATTTATGATTGATTTTGGCTTATTATTGACGAATTAAATGGTCATTTTCATCAACATGACAACATAATATGTTACTGTCTAGGAGCTGAACTGGGAATATATCAGCGAGCCAGGAAAACTTTTGAAACATTATCTTTGGATAAAAAGAGATAACAAATGCAAAAGGAAATATAGATTTCCAGAATCATTTGCAAGCTGGCTCTAGTTAACTTGATTTTTTACATCTACTTTGGTATTCTGCCAATGTTATCTTGTTTTACTTATTTCATTTGCATCCGCCCTTAGACTCCACCACCAAATCCAGCATCTTTATCAAGCCACTCATGAAGCTACTGCTTTAGCATTAGAAATGTTTATTCTAACAAACAATTTCCTCTAACCACTCCTTTGTACTAATCTTTTAATATCTTAAATGTAATTTTATTTTATTTTGACGAAATTCTGACAATAGATAACAAGGAAGAAGATGACAGCAAGAAAACATTAAACTTAATGTTATTTTATTCTAAATTGATTTTAGAGGACAACAAAATCTCCGCTGCTGTCATGCATTTAGTAGTCTTGGTAAAAATATCGGGCAAATTTGTAGCCATAGCCTAAAACTGAAAAGCTAAAAATGAGTGCTTTCGGCTAAAGTGTAAAAATAATAATTAAGAGATTGGTTCTCTTAAAAAAAAAAGAAGTAAAGGACGAAATTTAATGACAAGTACAAAAGTTTCCATGGAAGATTTACCTACCGTGTCTTTTAAGCATGTAACATTAAGTACTTGAGAAAATTAAGAACTTCTTTATAAAGATATAAATGATTAAAATCCATAAAAACTCTCGTCAAATCCTATCCTAGCTAGATTTCCAGAAGAGAAGCACAAAACAGTAAAAGAAACTTGAACAATAATGAATTTTCATAATTCATAAATTCATTAACAATTCATATGGAAAAAAGACTCTTTTGGAAAATCTTGAAAGCTGCACAAATGCGCACATACTTTTAATAACTGATAGCCTCAATGCGCACAAGTCTCAAATTTTCTTTAGTTTAGAAAATCAGAATCAGTTTAGAACTATCTGGAAAAGTAAGACCCAAGTTCGTTTAGAGAATGACAACTGATCTAGTCAACTGGTATATGAAGTTCTTCGAATACACTGGATAAAAGTAAATTAAATATGTCTTGTGATATTCTGTTTAGGATCCCCGAATCTTGCTGACATATACATTGCTTTTGAAACCACTGTAACTGGAGATTCCACAAGAACTTTCTATAACAGAGGCAAAGATAAAAGAGAGGGAAATACCTTGACAATGATCAATGGTGCCCATATTGCTGCTGTATCGGACCGTCCTGGCAATGTGCTCAAAATTATTGGCACCAATGCTGGTGCTGTTGTTGGTAACTTTCAAGATAGCTGTGTCAAGTAAGTTTGCAATTAAATTGAAGAAAATGAAAGCGTCAAGTCTAGTATTCCTGAAGTTGTGACGATGAAAGTTTTGGGGGAAAGTTATGAGGAAAGGCCTTCCTTAAGAAACTTTCTCTGAAACAGCCTCTTTTAGAGCACCACGAATCTCCCTTGATATTATGATAGAGAAGGACTGGAATCATATTTATAAATGAAAATGTTTACAATGTATTGCTGTCCCAACGCTGCATAAGCCTATGCCAGGTTGCAGTCGTTTTCTCATATGTTTGCCCAGGAGCAATAAATAGACCTTCCAGCCCAATAGATCACAAGCACACGTTAAAGTTACTACTACTATAGGCAGCACGATACCGCTGCAGAGACAAGAAATTGTCAAAATTTGAGGCTTCCATTTTTCCGGAAAACGGACGCGTTGAACAATATTTACTAATGAAACCTGCTTTACCCCAATAATTATTGCCCGAAGTCTGAAAGTTGATTGTCAATTTCAATCGACCAATCAATCCACCATAATTCATTAACGATATTATCATTATCATCAAATATTCTCTCTATTTTTCAACAGATTGAGCAGTTGTATCTAAACACTGCCTATTAATTTGCTCAATTCCCTAAAATCGAGACTATTTTCCTAATGATACCAAAAAACGTCTTGAATTGTTCTATTAAAAGTCTCTGACTGTTTTCAGTACTTGAAAAAGTTTTATATCCTTCGGTAACGGGAGGGTGTGATTGTAAAAACACTTGTATAAACTTAAAAACAAGAAACAAGAGTCGTGAATAGAATTGAAATAGAATTAGCTCTTTGCTGCAAGGATTTACTGTTGCCGAAACATCCTTCTCTTTATTTATACTTTGTGTTCTTCAATGGTCCTAGATGTTTCGTTTGACGTGATTTTCCTGACACAAACACCAATGATAAAATATTTTGTTTCTTAAACTGGAATGACTTTCTTAAGCTGAAGTTAAGTATGTTTTATTTCAGCAATCCAGGACATGGCTTGTGTAGCGTATCATTGTGGTTGAAGATTGTTTCTCCTTACCCTGAATACCAGACCATATTTGGCTCAGGAATGATTAATTCCAACTCAGGTCTTCTTCTCCGTGTTCACCCAAACGCAAAAAATATCGGTGCCCGCTCTATAACAAGCGACCAACACCTGTTGTTAACTGCCGCCCTGCCCGATGCAATGCAAACCTGGGCTCATGTGGTCCTTACAAGCAACTGGAAATGTAAGTAGACATGTGTATTCTATTGAATGGCAAAATTTTGGCAGTGAAAAATTGATCTGAATATTTCAAAAATCTTTACTGACACAGCCTTGTAATGATAAATTTCACCAGAAAAGTCAGTTAATATAACGGTAATTCAACAGAAAATGCCTTCAAATAATATGCCGAATTCTTTATATGAAGAAGAAAAGGTTTCATCAGCAAATTCAGGATGTTGAACCAGAAAACGAATTCCTTCTGGATATCGAAATTGGCAATTAAAAAACAAGCACCGCAGAGTTAATACCGAATTCGGCATTAAAAACTGTATCAAGCACAGTTCTATACTTTGAAGAGTGTCAGACGAAAAGATTACATAAATATGAAAAATCACTTTTGTGTAGACAGTAGGAGTTCCTTTCCACCTTTGGACTCCTTTGTAACATTCTCAATAGGCAAACAGCACTGATTGGGTAACCTCAACAGTCAAGAGCCCACGTTGAGGATTGGCCTATTTCGATCCACAACTGGATACATATATTTCCTAGGGCATAGTTTTCAATCTTTTTTCTGACGTTTTATACTCTGAAGAGTGCCTAATGAAAAGCTTTAGTATGACGCAAAATGTTTGCTTTTCTCAAAGCCACTTTTAAATAAAAATTAAGAGTTAAGGTTATTTAAGGAATATTTATAAAGAAATGTTTTTCAGTTAGATCAATTAAAGGACGTTTTACGCACCAATTGCATCCTCAGTTGCATTTATGAAGGAATTTTTTATTTAATCTTGAGTTTTAAGGATTGATCATACAAAGGCTTTTTAACGGAAATATCGTATTTTCAACAATTGTTATGTTGGAAGGATGCTGAATAGCGATCCATTTTAAAAGAGAAAGTCGACAATTTTGGCTTTACTACATACAAAGATCTTAGCATGGACATTTGAAAAGACCTTGGTTTTGAAGAAGAAGAAAAAGACAAGGAATTTGTAAAATATCTTGAAATGAAAATAATTCTGAAAAAAATCTTTAAGTTTAAAATGACTTTACTTGGAAGCATACAGAAATTACCTAAAATGTAAAGTTAGAATTAGCAGAATTAAGGCATGAGTAATAAAGGGACGCAAAATGCAAGTTGGGCTTTTTAAATAATTTGTAAAGTAACATTCCTCAATCAAGTCACAACCGTAACTTTTTTCGCAATAAATTATATCACTGTTGCTAGAGCAGGAGCTATCATTTAGTGAACACATGGAGTCTTAAGCAAATAATTTAGTGTAGCTCGCACCTTGTGTAAAAATGGTAGACGCGTCTTTAGGTAAAGAAAAATGGTTAACTTGTTTGTTCAATAAGCAACGTGTTTCTTGGTTCTAGCTAAGCAACTAGTTCTATACATTAATGGTAAGATGGCAGCACAGGATACAACTGCTGAATCAAACTCTGCGTCGCAAACAGGACATACCAATCTCATTCTAGGAGCCGGTACACTGATTGCTTTGATTAACGACTATTGGAATATGGAGCTTGATGACTTGGCAATTTGGGAGGACCATGTGTTGACAGCTGAAGAAGTCGTCCATGTAATGAATAAAGGTAAGAAAGCTGCAGATTTGATTAGGGTCCCCCAGAGGTTTTCGGGAACAGGGGAACCTGGCAAAAAATGGTACAGGAACCCTGGAACAACTTAGATTTTCCACTGAGAACTTGGGAACATTATTTCTAGTTTAAGGGAACAAGGAAAAATTTTTTTTTTCAACGGGAACACGAAAACATTGGTTGTTTTTTTCAAAGGAAACACGGGAACGAGTACCCGCTCCAGAAGACCCTTTTAGATATTAAAATGCATCGATTTTCTTTAGCATTTGGCTTCAATCAATCTGTCAAGAGAAAAAAACATTTAACTACAGTTTAGAAACCCTTCTGTGGAGTTAAGAAACCCTTCTGTGGAGTTAAGAAACCCTTCTGTGGAGTTAAGAAACCCTTCTGTGGAGTTAAGAAACCCTTCTGTGCAGTTAAGAAACCCTTCTGTGCAGTTAAGAAACCCTTCTGTGCAGTTAAGAAACCCTTCTGTGCAGTTAAGAAACCCTTCTGTGCAGTTAAGAAACACATGAAATTATCAAAAGTGAAGCTATTTCGAGAAACATTTTATTTTCAAGGCTTTGTCCAAACATGAGGCCAAAATGGTTAGCAAAAAAACACCGGAAGACAAAGATTGTGCTGTAAAAATCAATCTTTTGTATCCATCACAAAAGTACGACGATGGCATGAAGCTGGAAGTAGAGAAGTCTTGCACTGGTTGGCATTTTGACTTTTGAATTAGAAATCTGTTCCAAACGTTTAGCAACGAAGGCAACCCTAAAATCAATTGACAAAGACGTGCTGATTTAAACTAAGTAAGCTTCTTCAGTAATAAGTAAGAAGAACTGATGCTTGAAAATAACAACAATAAATGTATATTAACGTATTTAGATAGTTGTGTCTTTTGACAATGACAATTCATCCTAAAAGTTTCAGCAAGTTTGAAAAAGGCGTCTGGTTTGAAAAATACGTACCTCAACTTGAATAATAAGTAACTAAGTTGTACTTAAAAAATGTTAACAATAATTTCAGATTTCGTTGGTAATTAATAACCTCACGTTGCAAATTTGACTTAAAAGCTAAAGTTCTTAATTAATAGAACGTAGATTACCCATATAATTTTCTCCTTATTTCAAGTGTTTCTGTTGGAATACAACTCAAGGCTTAGTATTTGCAATTGAATGCTTTATGAGTGATGTATTTGTAATTGTATTTGCTTTATTACCTTAAATTTTTCAAATGAGTAGGGTGTTATCGTAATTAATTTTACCTGACAGCTAGACTCAGGCCTATATTTTGCACCAAAACCCACGATAAGAGAAAAATAATTAGTTTTTGGTCGCTCAAAATTTGAAAATGGCACAGAATAGTGGAAACGTCGCAGTACTTTTCATCCTACAATTTTCAGAGTATAAACGTCAAATAGTGACAAAAGGTTATCAGAAAATTGTTGTCCAGCTGTGGATTGAAAGTAACGTCAGAGGAAGTAAGACGTGTTTAATTGGGTCTTTGTTTTCGCCAATCAGTGACTGCTTACTGCTCACCTGGATATAGTTTTTCGCTCACCATCCGAGGTTTATACTTTAAAGAGTGTAGGACAAAAGGTACTTCATTATGCTATGTTGCCGCTATTTCGTGCCAGCTTCAATTAAAACAATACTGTAAATTGTGCTGTAAGATAACCTTGTTTCAGGAAGAAAAGTGTTTGGAGAGAATTTGCATTTCAAGTATAAATACTCTACAACAAAAGAAGCATCTCATTTTTCCCAAGTAAAGGCCTTAAATACATTTTCAGGACCTAATTGTATCTGTATTTAAATATATTTGTGAAGATGTATTTTGTAATTGTAATTAGATATTACATAAAACTATCATTATTGATAATAAGTTCATAATTTATCGCACGTGACGTTCGAGTTATAGAGAGTTAACTGTGGAACCAATTGTTAGAATAAGTGATTCTGATATCAAAAACTGTATATTAATCTTGATTAAGTAAAATTTAATCACGTTTAATATGTGACTGGCTACGCCTTTTCCATGCACCTTAGGCTTTCTTTTCGGCACAGTTTTCACGAATGTAGAGTTATTGTTTTTGTAGCAGTGATTGAGTAAGCATTACATTGTGTCTTTCTACGGCCAAAGCAACAAGCGTGCATTTGCCTTGAATATATAAATTTTATGTTGGCGTAGTTCATGCCCACAAGTTACAAGACAACCTAAAGTTGGACTGTAGGGAGCAAAGTGTTTTCCTTTGCGACCCTGCCCACCCCACCCATGTCTAAGTATTTTAGTAGGATGGCCCTCAGGCAGGTTTTTCCATGCATGTTAACTTTCTTTTTCTTGTCTTCGTGCATTAGTTAATGGCTAGATGGCTTGCGACTTTTGCATTAACAAGGTGTTGCTAGAGTCGGTGGAAGAAGGTCATTGTTTCTTCTTCTCAATCTCCTCAAAAACGTTTGGGATTTTATTTATATCCCACCGATAGCCCAAAAATAAATGGTCCAAATGATAAGAGAACACCACCTTCAGTCTTATGATTGACAATGGTAAAATATTCTGAGGGCCATCTTACCCAGATTTGCCAACGATTTTTGTTTGGTAACCTCACATGGAACAAATATTAATTTCAATAATGATGCGAACGTTTCTGTACAAAGAGATGCGAACATTTGGTTAATAAAATGGAAAGAGAGAAACCGCATAACATGCAGTAAAAACAAGGCAAAATGAACAGGCAGATGGGAGAAAATGGTTAAAAGAACATTGATATGATTATTGCCTGAGGGTTTGAGCATAACTGAATCGTGGAAACAGGTAGAAAAATATCAGGAAACAGGAAAAGGGCAGAGCTTCAAGAATTAGAAACAGCTTTTCAAGCCAAATCAACTCTTTGGGATGCACACCATACCTTCATAAGGGAACCAGCTGCATATCATTCATCGTTGGCACAACCTCCAAATGCCTTTATAATGACTGGTGTTAACGCTTATGCTATCAGTTACAACCGACAAAGCAGTTACATTACTTTTACCATTGAGTTCCCGCACCTTTTTGCTTTAACTGTTTCGCTGTCCATTGTAGATTTGACATAATTTTATATATTTCTGCCTTATTTCCAAAGCATCTTCGCTGCACTTAGTAGGCATCTGATTACAGCCTTTGTGTATTTTAATAACGTTTGGCTGACTGTACAGGGCCCACGCCACGAATTTCAAGGTGGAGGGGCCAAGTTCTTTACATCGAACCTGAATTTAGTGCTTCAAAACAAGGCCTCTATGGAAATGACTTTGCTTACCAAAAACGTCGGTGGCTCAACCCCGCCCCCTCCCTCCCCACGGCAGCGTGGCCCTGCTGTCAATGCATTATATTAATTTTTCTTCGCTTGGTTGACTGTAACAAGCATTAAAACATGTCAATTTTAGTCTCTTTTTGGTGGAGGTCTTTTACTAGACCTTCGATTGATATCTGAATCTGGTGGAAGATTTTTTTCTTTTTGAGGACTGCAATGTTTACCTCTCAGGAACCTTGTTGCTTTCGTCATCACTTTGCTTCAGACTGGAAAATTATCTTCAATCAAATCCAAGATTCTAGTTTCATTAAAATTCATGCGAAAATGTTTTTACGCCATGGATGATCGATGAACCTCTAAACACGAAGCCAAAGCTTCAAAACGAAGGATCTGAGCACCAAAATGTGCAGAGACCATAAATAAATGTACTGTACACCAGACTCCTTCTGCAGGGCTCGGTAAACATGGAGGTCGCACTGTCAATAACTACGAAGAAGACCTTCGGTAAGCAAAGGCATTGTAAACAAACAAACCCCTATTAATTTAGTAGCTAGACCTGTGTATTACTCGAACTGTGGTATCACGGACATTTTACAGAAGATTATCATAAGGAATAATTGTCAATGAGGGTATTAGAAATTCAGATAGTCAATAGTGTCCATTTTAGACCTCGAGAGATCTATTCTTGCTGATTCTCTTAAACTTTGTGTTCCAGAGAAGACATCGAAGAAAAAGCTATTTGAGCTTTAATCACATATAACTTTTCAACATATCAGCTACAATCCCGGACAAAAATAGTTGAGACTTTTCTTGGAAAGTTAATATTTTTGGAGGGGGAGAGAAAGAGGGTATTCGGATTTACAGGGGCAACGTAAAGTAGAAAATTGCAAAAAATAGCATTTTGTCTGAACAATTTTGTCCAGAAAGCTGGATTCGTTCAACCAACCCCAGTTGCACGCACGTTAACAAAACCTCTTTTTAAAAATTTAAAAATTAGTATAAATAGTGTTCCAGCAAAACTGAAGAACTGAGTCAGAAAGTCGCAAGATACTGTTAAGGCCTAATTGCACTAATCCAGTAACCCAAATCGACTATGCAATGAAAATTTACGGGAAAACCCAAACAAACTTTTACCATACTTTTGGATTTCCAAGACCACATTCTAGAATTCGAAGACCGCAAAGTATGCTGCTTAAAGGCAGAATTCAGTAAACATAGAGGTCACACTGTCATAACTGCTAGGAAGACCATTGGAAGGCAAATGTAAATAAACTTACAATGCCAAACCAAACCCCATCATCTTTTCATTGCTTTCTTGAAGAAAATTCGAGACCTTAATGGTATTGACAATGAGAAGAGTAAACACTGTCCTGTACTCTGTATTTCTCATTAATCAAATGATAGAACAAAATTTCTGACTAAAACACCAAATGTCTTACTCCCTCAACAATAAAACAAAGAGGAATGAAGCAAAAGTGCTTCCAGAGAAGTCGGTTTCAATTGAATAATTTGAAAAGCTTAAACGTAAATACGAGGGCAGCAGGTGTGCAGCATTTCTTCACATGTGAGTGCAAGGTGATGCGAAATGTGACATGCTGAAAATTTAAAACCACTCCTTAGCCATTGAAGAATGATGGCCAGCTTTGGCTAGAGATATCCTTTCAAAAGTTTATTGAATACCTACCAGTAGCGGCGCCACGGGGGGAATGGGGGGGGGGGGGACACGTCCCCCCTAGTTCTCGGCAGGACCCATTTTGCATTTCGTCTAAATCCGATGAGAAAATGTTGGGGGAGGGATAATAATTTGGCAACGTACTTTTTTGATGTCATCCTTTGATATTCAAACTGCCATTACATAGGCAACAGTTTGTTATGGACGTTCCTCTCAGGTAAAATTGGCCTTCCTTGTTTGTAAAAGGGCGTTTTCTAGTGCTAAAAGGGCGTGGCCTAATTTTTTTGTCCCCCTCCCCCCCCCAGAGCGTAGTGGCTGGCGCCGCCAGTGATGCCTAAAGTTGCAGGCTGAAATCATTCTTGATGATGGTAAGGGAATGTCAATACCTTGAGGAACTGTTTTTCAAGAACAGGCTTTGTATTCAAAGCATATTCAATGGAAAAAGTTTTAATGGAACTTTAATTTGGCATCATGTACGGCCTGTACATCTTCTTCTTTAGCATATATTTGCCTATCATTTCAAACTCCGTTCCAGCCTTTTGATATCCCAACACTGTCTTTATTGAGCACCTTTTTTCAAAATTTGTCAAATTCAAATTAAATCTTGCTATTGGAATATGTAATTGAAAAGGGCCTGATAGGTTTGTAGGCTTTTTCGAAGTTTCTTTTGTTTTCAAAGGTTGTACTTGTATTTCAAGTTATAGGTAGGAAACAGACAGGTAGTCTTTCGGCATGTACAATTGGCTTATCTGTTTATAATGAAAATAAATGGTAGGTTTTATGAATCATCAAATGAAACAATAGGGAATTCGCAATAGGAATTCGTCATGAACAACGCGAATGAGGTCAGAGTTTGAATGCGAGGCTACTTTGTTTCTTAAAAATCATATACCATTATCCCGAAAACACGGGACGCTGGCTAAAGGGGGGTTACCTATTGAATACCTAAAAGAGGGATTTAGATACCTATAGTCAGCAAGAAAAGTCGGGGCATGCCCCATGCCCCCCCTGTGGTGCGGGCCCTGCCAAATCAAGATGTCTGATAGAAATTTGCTCATTCGGGATCAATCTAGTGAATGGTTGCCAACACAGAAACTTTACAATGGGGCCGAGCTTCCACGGCACCTCTGTCTATTTCCCCTTTGGGTGATTTGACAACGCATTTGGAGAAGTTGATAGGGTCGTGTTTTTTGTTAAACACGTTTTAAAGAAATTGTTTAAGCAAAGCGCAACTTTTTCCCAAGGTCAGTGCTTCCACTTTTTGCGTTTTCCCAAAAATTCCTTAAATATGCTCAGAATCCCTTCCAAAATCGACGAAAAATCCTTCCAATTTCCCTTTCGCTTGTTTATTTCAATTAATGACCTTCGTCCGTCTTATTCGCATTCACCTAACTCAAGAAATTGTTCGTGGTGTTGCTTTGAACAAAGGAGCTTTTGTTGAGTTATTTTCTTTTGTCTAGTTTCGAAAATTGTAGTTTCAAAACTTTTGAAACTCTAAAGACATTAAGGATTAACGGGTAGTGACAACAGCGTTCTTAAATGCGAATATATTTTCAGAGTTTTTAACTTTGGACCTTCTTTTCTTATTAGAACACCAAAAATTACCTCTCAATATACAAAACCAGTTCAATATTTAATAGAGATATTAATTATCTTCGAAATCCTGTTGTCTGTAAACAGTTCAATATGTTACAAATTGGGCGTGATATGACCAATGAACGATATCAAGTTTTGGAAGTTTGATACAAATTTCTGCTTTTTGGCGTGGCTCATCAAGTTTAGAGCAAAAACAGAATAACTGTGAATTAACGGGGACATTGCTTATGCACATGTTGCAATATCACAACCTGTTTTTACACATTTAACAGATTTTTCACATTTAGAGATCTTTCAGGTTATGTGATTCAAATTCAAAAATATAAAAACAGCTTTTTGTAATGTCAAAACATCTCTACGAGAGTTATTAATTATGAGTAGGAGAACCCAGTGTCATTTTTTCATGTATTTTCAGTTGGTGTGGACAAAATGGCTACCAAAGGCGGGCTAACTAACACCAGCGGACAAAACTAGAACAACATAACGTTGTTTGAATTCGCCAAATCAGTTTACGGCCAAGATTTTCTGTATAATTGAGCTTCTTACCCTACTGACTGAAAACGCAATTTTTCTATTATTTTAAAACACGTTTCAAGAATTTCCTCTCAATTGCTTAGAAAGTCCTTTCAAATTCCTTCTAATTTCGAATTCATTTTTTCCCTTCCAATCGGCCAAAATTCAAACAAAAAGGATAAATCCCTTCAAAACAGTGGGAAGCGCTGCCCCAGTTTTATTTCATTTCTGTCACAGAATCCTGTTTCTGTTGACTGGGTTGTATGGCGGATGTTTATTAGACTTCTTGAAATGGCGCTCTATGGTAACATACCTGGGAAGAGATTTTGATTACTCTAGTGAAACCGTGCAGCAAAGGAGGAAATTCATCTTTTAAAACGAGAATTCGATAAATTGGATAAAGTGAACTCAGCGCTACATAAAATTTACATTTAATTTTTCATGGTCGGCACAATTTCGATAAAGCTGAAGTTGTAATTTCTTCCTTCAACTTGGCCGGCGCCTGAGTCTGACAGTTCTTTGCCGTGATGTCCAACAGCGTATATTTATGCTAAGAATCTGCCAGTTTAAGATGTTTATGTCACTTTCCATTATTATTTGTGGCAGCTAGCTATGGTCCGGCTATTGCGATACCGTTCTCTGACAAGTTTATCGAGAGATCCAAATAACTTGCGTCGTGCCTTCAGTGAGGCGAGCCTACATTCACCGTCATTCGATGCCAACCACACTTTCCTGAAAGTCAGCCAAACCCATATCACAGTTGGAGATAAAATTGTGTTATCTTGGAATATTAACGAAAATTTAAATGAGAACAATTGGATTGGATTGTTTTATGAAGGTATGCCCTTTTGTCGTCCTTAAGTTTAAAGCAGGTTTTTTCTGGATGCCCTTCTGTCGTCTATGCTTATGGCCTAAGTGAAATGCATTTTAGAAGGTGATCCTCCTGTAGTTCCTGTTGAAAGTCAGGAATCAGTCGGTACGCTTTGCTCCACGTGAATTCTTGGTTTTTTGTTGTGCATGCTTTGTTTTCGGAAATTATCAGTCTAATGAAGATGTTTTATGACATTTTTAGTGTAAAAGTTTGGTATTGTTGTGCCATTTACAACCCAAAAATTGGAAATTTTGTGTTGTTTACACACAAAAGCCGGCATTTCTGTGGATCATGTCACTTATATGTACTTATATGTAAAGTGAAAAAGTTAAAATTTGACGTGAAGAAATCTTGGAAACAATTTAGAATTGTTGTTTATTTGCTGTTTGTATTACATAGAAGCCTATTCATTGAACAGCAAAACTGGCCTAAGGAGCAAATTGGTACCGTTTTAGATGATAATCTTTTTCAATACCCAGGGTGATCTCTTGACGATAACCAAGTCTCTTTGACTATTTGCCAAGGGCTAGAATTATTGCAGTTGTCTTGACTCTAATGATTTTAAACAAGAACTTATAATATACATTCATGTACAGCTGTCAAATATTCCCTTCCTGTAATGTGCCACATTAGTTTATAGATTTGCACAAAGCTACATACATAAATCCGTAATGATTTGAATTGTTTTAAAAAGTCTCCAGTCCCCTCCACCTCAGGTGTTTCCTGATTAACCTTAATCTCTCTAGTTTTTAGGTGCACTTTTAGCACTATGGCTTTTAGCATCTTGGGTGTGCTATGACTTTGTTCAGCTAGCTAGATCATCATCACCATCAGTTTTCTTTGTTATGATATTGCAAATTTTAATACTACTGGAATAAAGAGCTTGTTATGTTAAATAGATAAAAACAATTTCCAATTGTTATCCATGTGTCTACTCTGGAGTTGTCTGATGCAAAAGAAAAAAATTGTTATCCTAATTTCTGTTTTGTGAGCCAATCATCATGTGGTGTCATATTTCATGTACACCACAGCTTCAAGGTAAAATATCTTTTTGGAAATGAAAATTGAAATTGGGCTACTGGCATTCTAATCAAAATATTCATAATGTCACATTGAATTTAATTCAAAAAGACATAGTGGTTCTTTAACTTGAATCCATTGATAAAATCAATGATAAATTGACATATTTGACAAAATCAAATGTACTGATTTTGTCATTATGTAACCAGACCCTTTTTTTTAATGGATTGTCTACTGCACTGATTTTGTCAAATATGTCAATTTATCACTGATTTTATTGATAAATTGTCGACATACTGGTAAATTTCATCTTTAAGCTGCATTTCTCAAAGTCTGAATCTATTGAAAGTGTTGCATTATTTTCCTTTGCTATTTAGTCAAGTTTTAACACATTTTACTGTTTAGCTTTTCCTTCTTGATGTATAGCACAATTTACTCTGCACCCATTACAGCCCTTTAAAATCAGCTTTGCATTGTCTGTCTTTGTCATACTAAATTAATTTTAGGACTTTATAATCTGATTTTATAATCTTTAATGTGTCTGTGCCTTGTTTTTCTGTAAATTTTTGTCACATATTTGCAAAACACTTCATGATCATCTCAAAACAGTAAAATTAGAAAAATGATAAATATGAACAGTCCTATGTTGTTTTGACTTGGATAAGCTTATATTCAAAGGCAAATGCTTTGGCACCTTGCACTGGTCTAAGGGGGCTTTTTCTGCCTGCAACAATTTTTTTGCTAGAGAAGCCTGCTCAATGTATTTCACTGTTTCCTTGT